AGCGTGTCAAAGTTTGGCAGTGGGGGCTCGTGACGTCACTTTATAGTTAGTGTTACTAGTGTATTAGTGTAATTAATTAGTGTTATTGTTAATTAAAACATTAATGTCTTGATTATGTGAATAAGGAAAAAACACCAATATATTTTGATTCTACCTGAGAAAAAAAGCCCTATCATTCCTATTGCAAGTTATTTAAGAGTTAATAATGTTTTTTTAGAAAAATATTCTATATAAAATAAATAATAAATAAACGTTTATTCCTTTTAAATTGCTACACATTTAGTTTACACATTATTTTCAGCTGTGTTGTAAGTATTATTTTTTGGACATATTTTTTATTTAATTATTATTTTTATAATTTGGGCTTAAAGAATACATAGAGTCATAAATTTTCACCCTTCTACCACCAGCCCCTATTTTTATGGCGATACGAAGTTCGCTGGGTTGGCTAGTTTATTTATATTATTTTTTAACAAGTTCTTTAAAGCACATTACTATGCCCTAACCGGATTCGTGTAAGGATCTAAATAAATATTGTGTAACGCACCTCTGTACACCTACTTACACGCAAAAAGCAATACATATTATTATTAAATTACGGAAGTTATAAATACTTTAATTTAATAGGTAGGTATATCACAGAGCTTATATTTAGCCTATATTTCACTTGAGAATAATTTAGCTTTAAATTAATTAAAATGGACTTAGCATTACCAAAAGCCGTACAATCAAATAAATCAATAGAATTAGGCAAACCCAATGAGTTAATTAACAATTCTGTTACATTTAATTAGGTAATGATTAAGTAGTTAATAATGTCCATTATCGTTTTGGAGGCGTTATGTTCTAAAACTACTAATGTAAGTAGGTAGGTAAATTAACCATCTATTAGAAGAACTACCATGCAACCCGGCAGGACGGGGATGGTTGGTGTGGCAGGTAGAACTGCTGCATCAGCTATCTTTGCCTCTGGACTCCAACTTCACTTAGCATTAGGTGGGGTGGCGTCATATACCGGACTTATCTATAAAAGAAATCTGATATTACCATTAAAAGAATTTTAATTCGAAAACTTCAGTTCGCTCGCAACTGTAGTCTAACGTGATCTAGAGATTAATGGCCTAAAAACATTGAAAATAATAACAAACCTGTCTGTTTTTTTTTTAAAAATAAGAAGTCCTGTAGTCTAGAATTCTTTTAAGTAAGGAATAACATTATTCCTATTATAGGTATTTTACATAAAGGACCATAAAAATGTTATTACATGAAAACAACTTTCATTACAAAAACAAAGTGTTAGAAAATTAAATATAAATTCTTTTTTTATTAACTTTTGTATATTGTGATCAATCTTTTTTTTTATTTTTTTTTTATTCGGTAATAGGTAAGCGCTTGACCATAATTCGCCTGATGGAAAGCAATATTATGGTCTACGATGGAGCGCGCTTACCTAATAAAAACCGGTTCACTCTTGCTTTGAAAACCGCTAGATTGTAGTGCTCGGGGAACAAGGGCTCAGGCAAGGAATTCCACAGTTTGGCAGTCCGCACGATGAAGCTAGACGCGAATCGCTTAGTGCGAGTCTTTGGAACTGCCACCGTGAATCGATGTCGCCTTGCCGTTTCCCTGCTCGTCCGGTAGTAGAAAGGGGCGGGAGGAATTAGCTCATGTAATTCCTCTGCGCACTCACCGAAATGCAACCGATAGAACACCGAAAGACTGGCAACTTTGCGTCGGTGTTCCAGGCTTTGTAACTTTGCCCGGCAAAGCGCGTCATTTCCAATGAGCTTTATCGCTCGTTTCTCAATTGCCTCCAACGCCTCAAGTTGGTACTTAGCCGATCCATCCCAGAGGTGCGAACAATACTCCATGCACGACCGAACTTGTGCTTGATATAATGTAAGCAACTGTTGCGGCTTGAAGTATCGTCGCACCTTCGAGAGGATACCCAACTTCTTGGCTGCTAATTGGGCCTTGGACTCAATGTATGAGCCAAAGTTGAGGGTTGGTGACAATATAATACCGAATAGCTCGAGATGGTCGCTGATCGGTACGGTTACATCCCGGAAAGTAGGGGCCAGATCAAATGGCCTCTTTTTTGCGGTGAAAAGACACACAAAGACACAAAGACAACCATCCACTACAACTCGAATAAACCTATCCCTCAGAAAGTCTGAAATCCATGCACAAAGCCCAGTAGGCAGGCCGTATGAGGATAACTTGCTAATAAGACCGTCGTGCCAGACCCTGTCGAAGGCTTTGGAAATATCGAGAGAAACTGCTAGAGCTTCCCCGTACTTCTCGATGGCTTCACTCCATATGTGCGTGGCGCACGCTAGAAGGCCACCCGTGGACCGATTCCGGCGAAAGCCATATTGTCGGTCGTTTAGGAGGTCGTTAGTTTCTAGGTACGCCAGGAGCCTGTGGTTCAAAATACGTTCCATACTCTGTAAGAGTAATTGAAATAGGCCGGTAATTAGCAGGGTCAGCACGACTACCCTTCTTGGGTACAGGCTGTACGTTAGCAAGCTTCCAAGAACTCGGCACTTCACCAGTTGCAAGGGAGAGCTGAAAGAGGCGCGTCAAGACAGGAGTCAACTCAGGTGCACAAGACCTCAGGACAATGGCTGGAATACCATCAGGACCACTAGCTTTATGCACGTCCAGATTGCGCAGCGTTTTTCGTACCTCAGATTGGCGAATTTTGAACTCTGACATTTGAGTCAAACAGCGAGGAGGTGAAAGAGGCGACGCGCTACCAGCATCGAGGCGCGAATACTCCGCGAAAAGAGAAGCAAATAAATTCGCTTTCTCGTCAGCGGTATGGGCTAGCGATCCGTCAGGCTTCAGCAGTGGAGGCAGGGAGGGGCGACAAAAGTTCCCTTCGATCGACTTTGCCAGGGACCAGAACGCTTTACTTCCCGCGGGATACGAAGCGAGCTTGTGCCCTACACGGCTTATGTGATCGAAGCGAGCCCGCTGTAGAGCCTTCTTGCATGACTTGGCAGCCTTGTTAAATGCTTTCTTCTTCTGGCTTGTATCCCTAGCTTTGCATTGCATCTTAAAACCACAGAGGTTTGAATAATCTCGGGATTTATGAAAGTATCTTTCTAATTTAACTTCAAAATGTTTAATATTCGAAAGATTTCAACTTTAATTATTGAATCATATAAAATATATTCAAATAATGATAAATTAAAAGGCGTTGTCAAAGAAATTGGGATTAGACAAGTAGACCCTGCAGAGTGTATATTCAAATTACATAGCTTAATATTGTTCAATTTAATTATGCTGTATGTATTGCTTTTCCAGCCTAATGAATGAAGAACGCTTTAACTTTTGTATTAATTGATAGGAAGGAGTAGTCCCTTCCTACCATTATTCTGATCAGATAAAGAAAGGAGGTCTATCATTATTTTAAATTATCCAATTTGTGAATTGAGCTCCCGAAAATACTGTTTAAGATTATAAACAAATATTCATACTGCTATCTAACGAAAACTTGGACGTGGAACTGACGTAGGTTTGTATCCAAAACCGAATTATGTGTAACTGAAGATGATGAAGACATCGTTGGTTTATTGTTATAATCTAATGATTGATGTATGGGTTAAAATGTTACGAACTTATACTGACTCAACACCAACGCAGCTGCTGACCACGAAACTATATTGGGCCCGCGTCGTGGGTCGTGGCTCAATCTTGTAGTTAAAGTTCATATGGGAAGGCGTGCAGAAATTTCCAGGCTTCTACATCCTTCCACTTTCTCGTCCTAAAATGCTTCTTCCACACTTGCGCAATGAATTTTTTTTCTCAATGAGCTAAAATTAGCGCTCGAAATTTAGTTCCATCGTCATGAATTTATCGAACTGCATGTCTATAGACGCTAGACGATAGCTTTTACTAGAGATTTTGACACGCAATAAAGCTTAGATTAAAACAAAAAGGGTAGATACGGAACGCTCATACTTGCATCAAACAAAAACTGATCCCACGGCAGCGCGAACGGGACGGCGAGATCCGCGTCACTGCATTACCGACCCGAGCGAAACAGCATGTTAAGTTTCAACGGCAGCGCGAACGAAACGGCGAGATCCGCGTCACTGCACTACCGACCAATCACGCGACCAGTACTCGACGTCACTACCGAATAAGATTCAAAACAAACAGCAATTTTTATGAAAAAATATATTTTATAGTACTTACGAATGAAAATTGATGCCGTGGGTTTTATTTTTAGCTCTTGAGCAATTTGAGCACTTTTTAAAAACATACTTAGGCATTGTTTTATCATATAAACACAAAATATTATCAATATTTCTTTTTGGCGTTCACATGTACGTCGTTTGCATGTCAAGTTGTGACTAAAGCGATTAGGGTCGTGGACCACAATTTGTGCGGATCATTTTTGTGAGGCTAGTGCCGTATCTACCATTTTTGTTTTAATCTAAGCACTAAAGAGGTTGTGAGAGACGATAAATTTATATGTGCAGCTGAAGGAACGCACTTACGATGGATGTAATTCAAATTTCGAAAGCTTATTAATTTTAGCGCATTTTAGTACCAAAGCTTCGTAGCGCAGGTTTGGGAGAAGCATAAGAAATATTTTATACCAATCGGGTATACTACACTGTCGATAATATCACGATATCGTGATATTATTGACTGTATCGCAGTATCACCAGAACAACTTGTGATACTGCAATCCAAGTATCACGATAATATTGATCAGTGTAATTAAATTAGTGCCAAATGCACAAACCGTGCGAGCCAAAAAGAAAAAAAAAGTTATAAAATATTAACGAAGGTAGTCCAAAATACAAGCACGTTATATTTATATTTGTGTTCTTCTATTTAACGGACATCATTTTAATTTTCATTTTAATCACCCTTGACATCGGTAAATTTATAATAATTACCGCGCCGTATATTAATGATCATTGTGCTACTCGAGTAGTCACACGGCTTAACATCGTCATAGTTTCCAAACGTGCGTAAAAATGAATCTCGGCGGCTTGTTTACATTACCGTTATTTCTGCATATCTGCAATGGGGCATGTAAGTCCTTATTTTATTCTACTAACTATATGATTTAAGCCAACCAGATAAATAATTAAGATAAATTCTTAATTAAAGGTGATTACTTATTTATTTCAATATGTTAAAGATTATAAAATTCGGTATATGTACTACAAAATAAATAACTTTTACCAATACTTTAAAACTTAAAACTATGATACATCTACATAAGTAAGGTTTTGCAACCTATCATTATTATTCTTTTGAGAAAATCTTCAGGTAGTATGTATGCAATACATCCGTTCACTACGGTTAACCATTGAGTAGTTTTGCACATTAGCTTTTATCGTCATTGGAATAGCAATAAGCGCGTTCGGTTGCTGTCGTTGAAGTTCAGCAACTTTTGAAAAGGGATGGGTGAATAAAAATTATTATTATCTAAACTCCTCCGTGTTTCGAAAGATAGGTAAAGTCGTTGGTCCCGGCTGCATCTGCAGTCGCAAAAGTTACCACAATGGGTCTACGAGATGGGACATTCATGACTCGTTCTCTCAAGCCATAGTGAAGATTTGTGCATGTGCCCCAGCAGTGGGAACATTATACACTGATGATATCACAAGACATGATGATATTTGACAAGTTTTAGAAAACGGATCTCACGTTATTTACCAATATGGATATTCATCATTTTGTTGTATATTTCATATTTGTGTATTTCAGGAAAAATCTAAATAAATAATTCAATTTTTCAAGTTGCCGTGAAAACGTTTTTCTGGGCACGATGGCGTCTCACTAGCATGTGACGTCACACTACTGTCATTAAAACGTTAAACGATACATTACAATGTAATGTTACTTAATCGGAAGTTTACTAGCATGTGATGTCATTTTAGTCAGGCGGTTTCGGTCATGTGATCACAGAGCAAAAAAAAATTCCTATAAATGGTTTTTACAAAAGGTTTAAGTTATTCGTTCTCTTAGAATAGTAAAATCGCTTCTTATATTCATATTAAATAAAAACTAGCAAACCAGTGAACCAAATGTTCACCAAAACCTGATTTAAAAAAGAAATGTATTTAATTAATTGAGAAGATTTTGTATGGATTCGTTTGAAATTCGTGATTTCTCGAAAACCGGAAGTGCAACGTTACTCAAATCCGGTTTGTAGTCTTATCAGACTATTCTTAACTTATAACTTAAATATTCTCTTTATCTATCTCTTACGGTTTGGCCGCTGAAACAGCACCACAGACAGACGGACGGACTTGTCTAATAGATAAGAGATTAGTACTTTATTTTTAATACTGTCAAATATAAGCGATTATAAGAATCGCGATTAATAGGCTAATCGCGGTTCTCCGGCAATAACAGTAAGCAGTTGATAAAACCGCACCAATGTGAACCGTGCTTGCACGCGGAGGGTTCAGGGTTCCGATACCACATTAAGCGTACCTATCGAGATAAAAGGAAGCTTGGAGGATGATATAAGGCTACATTGTGTAATCAGAAATTAAACTTGAAAGAGATTAATGTTAGTGAGGAAATATCGATTGTTCTATGCCCAGACAAAGTCACGGTCACCCACTTATAGTAGTTATTTAGTACCTGATTGCGTAAGTGTATTTTGTATTTAATAATCGAGATTCAAATATTTTATTAACAACTGGATGTTGTATACGTAAGTATTTACTGTGTGACAATGGTTTTAACCCTTGCAAGTTATTTTTGGAGTTGTCTAAACTCATTTATTGTCCCCAGCTCATTGTATTTTTCTTAAAAACATTAGACCATTAGAACGCTGGCCAGGCATATTATCTTAGGGTTTATATACACGAGCGGCTCACAACCGACGGCAGCGGCAACTGCAGCCGTCGCCAACTTTTGACGGCAGCCGTCGACTCGTCGGCGGCAACTTAATGTTAAACTTGGTTTAAAAGCGTATGGGTAGACCAATTGGACCAGTGAAGTTGTAGGTTATGATTTAGGTTAACCTATTTGGAGGAGCTCGATGGCGCTAGTGGTTATCGCGTTCCGCTGCGATCGTTGAATTTAAGCAACTTTGGCAGTGGTCGGTCATTGGATGGGTGACCGAAAATTTACTATCTCGAGCTCCTCCTTGCTTCGGAAGGCACGTTAAGCCGGTCTGTTGGTTGGTCTCGGCTGCATCTGCAGTCGCTAGCACCCACCAACCCGCACTGGGCCCGCGTGGTGGGTGGCCCAATCTCCCTATTCCATCCATAGGGATGGCCTGTGCCCCAGCAGTGGGGACATTAATAGGCTGATGATGATTAACGTATTTTTCAGTGCTTCCAGTCCCCAAATGCAAGATCTCTGACACAAAATGTCTGAAGGCATCAGCACAAGCAGCGGTGCCACTGCTGGCCCCCGGTATTCCAGAAATCGGTGCACCACCATTAGACATTATGCACATCGACCTAATCAAAGTGAACCTAGCAGGGCTAAATATGGTCGTAAAGGACGCAGTGCTGAAGGGTTTGAAGAATGCCAAGATCGACAAGATTAGGTAATTTTTGTTTTTTTTTTTTATATAATTTAAGGTAACTTTTTAGCTAGTTGGAAATTAGTGTCAAGCCAAGCCCCTGCCTTCGAAAATACCGCGATTTTTCCTAGTAAGATAGTAGCTAAATGACATGTCTATTACGTCGTTAAGGTGCGTTATTATTGGTCGATAATATCAGATGATCAGATGTTATATATATTTCTTCATAGCTCTATTTCGTCGTTATTATCCACAAACTAAGTAGCCGTTCTCATACACAAAAAACAGATATCGCAGTAAGAGATCTGATATTATCGACAAATAATATATAAATTATACTTTATTGCATCAAATAGTTTTCACACACACCAATTAGCCTAGCCCCAAAGTAAGCACTGTAAGGCTTGTGTTATGGAATGCTAGGATAACGGGTAGAATACATATATTATACTGATACATATTTAAGTATATTTTATTTAGAAATATATGTAAACACCCATGACTAAGTTACCAATGCTAGTATTTATCATACTAACATTTGCCCCCACCGGGATTCGAACTTGGTACCCCTGCCTGAGTAGACGATGCCATGAAACCGCCATGTATATACCACCCGACTACGGAGGTCGTCAAAAGTCAAATACATAGCAATTTTTTATCTCTTAAAGAGACCAATAATACAAAATCTTGGCAATAATATCAATAATAATGCGTCTATGCCTAATTTTGAATAATTTTCCATTAACAATGTTAAAAATATTATTAAATAAAACTAGTTTTAACGGGTTAATGCACGAAACTTTATTTATTTATTGACGTTGACTGATTTTTTTATTTAATTTTGTCGAGCTACCTTCGAAAGTGCTCGACAAAATTAAAAAAAAAAGTATTATGACGATGCAGACCTGAAAAGGCTGCGAAACGTCAATAAATAAATAAAGTTTCGTGCATTAACCCGTTAAAACTAGTTTTATTTAATGAGTGATGTGCGTAAAAACCTAAGAAACAAAAATATATTATTTCTTATTTCAAAATACTTGAATTAAAAATGTACTTTAAAATAATTCTATTCAACTCCTGCTTTCTCTGGTAACTGATCTGAGACTCTAGCACGAAGTTTAAAAATTCCGTAATCTTATCGTCATCGTCAAATTTTGTATAGAGGGTTTGTTCGCTGGCAGGGGCGCTGCTTAGGTGTCAATTGAAAACCAGTGTCAGGTCCCACAAACCTGACAGCATGCTGAATTGCCAACCTGTTTTGGCGCAGCCGCCAGAGAGCAACAGATTAATTCACTGGTAGAAACGTACGGTATGGTAAAACTGTGTGTGTTACTTTTTTGCTGTATTGTTTTCCTATTGTTTCGGATTTTTGTTTTTTCTCGTATGTTGCTCAAAATCTTGTTTCTCCTGTCTCGTTGTTCGTGTCAAAATAAATGAAATGAAATGAAATGAAATGAAATGAAATGAAAATGAAATGAAAAGTCATTTATTCAGTCTAGGCTGTTACAAGCACTTGTGAAGGTCAAGAAGCTACGCCATCGGGTCGCAAAACTACGGCGGGAGACCTTGTACTGAGAAGAACCGGCAAGAAACTCAGCAAGGGCTGCTTTTTTCTCCCTGTATTGATATATACAGAGTCGTCAAGTTGAAAAATGATTTCAGAGATACATCTGAAGTCACCTTCCATTACATTATTAAGGATATAGATATATAGTTACAATAAATTTTATATTTAGTATATAGGAAGCGGCATTAGATAGGTACCATATTACTGTTTCAAAAACTGACTCATACCCATCAAATAACAAATTACAAGAAACACTATGTCCATGCATTTCGATCATTTAGATAATCATTAACTTTATAATAGCCCTTATTCATAAGAGTATTCTTAATCTGAGATTTAAATTTGGTTAGTGGAAGCTCAATCAGATCTTGGGGAACTTTGTTAAACAATGCAATACAAGATCCCAGAAATGAACCTCTTGATTTTTGGAGTCTGAAACATGGAACGGCAAGTTTGTTATTATATCTCGTGTTAAAGTTATGGGTTTGACTTTTTTTTGCAAATGCCTCATAGTTTTTTCTTACATATACTAAATTTTCATAAATGTATTGCGATGCCAGTTTTAAAATATTAATTTCTTTAAATTTTTCTCTAAGAGATTCTCTTGCCTTTAAATTATATATGGCGCGAACAGCTCTCTTTTGCAGTACGAAAATTCTTTCTATATTAGCAGCTGAGCCCCACAACAAAAGGCCATATGACATAACGCTATGAAAGTAACCAAAGTAAACCAATCTTGCCGTTTCCACATCAGTTAGAAGTCTTATTTTTTTAACAGCAAAAGCCGCAGAGCTCAGTCTACTTGATAAGGCATCAATATGAGGATCCCATTGCAAATGCGAGTCTAAAGTAATACCCAGAAACTTTGTAGAATCCACTAACTCTACAGGCTGGTCATTTATTTTTAAACTAGTATTAACCTGCCTCAAATTAGGTAAAGTAAACTTAACACATTTTGTTTTACTAGAGTTTAGTTTTAAATTATTTACCGTAAACCAGTGAAGGACTTCAGAGAGAGCACAATTTACTTCGTCATAACAATCATTTCCTCTCCTAGCTTTAAACACTAAAGAGGTGTCATCAGCAAATAGTACTGTCTCACACAAATCTCTTGTAAAGTGAGGAAGGTCATTAATATAAATAAGGAAAAGCAATGGGCCCAATATTGAACCCTGGGGCACGCCCATAGAAATGGGTGCTCCTGTAGACTCAGCTTGATTTATAACCACTTTCTGAATCCTAGCAGAAAGATAAGACTGTATCAGACTTAGTGAAATATTTGATACACCATAATGCTTCATTTTATTTAACAATGTTTCATGGCTAACGCAGTCAAACGCCTTAGATAAATCGCAAAAAATGCCAATAGTATCGTGCTTACTCTCCCATATATCAAAGCTGTGTTTGAGAAGTGCAGTTCCAGCATCAGTAGTACTTTTGCCTCTAGTGAAACCAAACTGTTTTAAATGAAGTAGCTTATTTATAGAAAAGTGTGCTAGTAATTGGTTATAAATTATTTTCTCAAATACTTTACTTAGCGCTGGTAATACAGATATAGGCCTAAAATTGCTGGGATCTGATTTGTCACCAGCCTTAAAGAGAGGGATAACTTTAGCACATTTCATTAGATCTGGAAACACTCCCTCATCAATACATTTGTTAAATACAATGGCCAGTTGTGGCGCAATGGCAGTGATAATCGGTTTTATTATATATGTTGATATTCCCCAATAATCCTCTGTCTTTTTAATTTTAATTGAATTAAAAGTTTTTATAATACAATCACTACTGATATGTCTAAAATGAAAATCATTACTGCACTTATCAACACTTGACTCAAGGAGGGTCATTGCTAACCTAGAACAAGAATTAAGATTTCTAGTTGTTTCAAATGGTGCACTAGAAAAGAAATTTTGAAAAGTGTTTGCAACGGTATCATCTGTCCTAATAATCTTATTGTCTATTTTTAAAGAATATGTGTGTTCATTAAATTTATTTCTTCCAGTTTCATTATTAATTATATTCCAAGTTGTCTTTATTTTATTATCGGAAAGACTAATTTTTTTAGATAAAAACTTAGACTTTGCTATGGCACACACCTTTTTAAAAGTTTTTGAATAGTTTTTGACATATTCTATAAACTTAGGATCAGATGAGGTTGCCTTGAGAGCATATAATTGATACAACTTATTTCTACTTTTGTAAATACCCGGTGTGGCCCAATCACTAAATTTCTTTTTAGAGCTATGGCATTTAATTAATTTGCGTTTAAATATTTTATTAAATTCATCTTTAATTAAATTGAATAAATCTTCATACAAAATATTATTATTATTACAAACTGGTAAGTTCGATATTTTGTGATAAACGCTATCTTGAAATTTATTTATACCCGTTTGTGTAATTGGTCTACAAGTTAGGTCATGTTTGGGTGAAGCATGATGGTGTTCAATAGAGTATTTTCTTTCTTATTTTTCATAGAAACTTTGACGATGCGATACGGTTACTGACTGTCAAAATTTGTGCTTGGACCTCTTATATCGAGTGTAGGTAGTACAATATATTATAGGGGGTAGGTACAATATATTAAAACAATTTAAAAGATTTTGTAGCATAATTTTCCATGGGTAGGTTAACCTTTAGTCAGTTAACTTTCGTCATTGGTAAGCTTACATCCCCGATAGAAATATAACAATAAAATTATCAAATTTAAATTAAAAGATATAAGCTAGTTTGTATCTAAATAAACGTATAAATTAATAACGAAACGCTATTGTGAATACAAAATGTAACAAAACCAATTAAATGTAAACTGTGATTTACCAATATTTTACAAATCTACCTGATAAATTGGAAGATCGCCAAATTCTCCGAATCCAATTTAATTTATTTTAGCAATAGGTATTTTTAGGGGCTACTGAATTTTGAGCACTTAAATATGACCTTCAGCATATTGTGGATCCGGACTCGGATTCAAACCTGATTTTACTCTCTTTCTTTTACAATACTACTAGAGTCTGTGCGGAAAGAGAATGGGCGTGGCGAAAAACGGAACTAACATTAAGATTTTTATTTGGCAATCAAACCCAGCAATCTGTAAAACGTCAAAGTTTTGTATTGATACGGATTTGTTTGTTGTTGTGATTTCTTGCGGTTTTTTGTATTTAATCATGCCTAAAAGAGGTAAAACCTTACAAATACAGTGGAAAAGCACTACAGCACCCTCCAATCTAAACCCCATTCTCTTTCCGCACAGACATCGTTCCAAAATTGAGTCTTAACTTGAGAAACAGTTCTCTTAGACTGAATTAGGTACATAGGTAATCGTATTTTTCTTCAACAGATAAGGAGTGAAGTCACATAAAAAACCTGCTCTCCTTGAGAACGTTTTACTTAAAACATCAAATGAATATACATATTATGACTGTCTGTCATATTTTGTAATAGCTAATATTGATAAAAAAATAAGATGCAACAAAGCATAAGAAATATTCAATCTTTGATAAGATAATATTACCACTTAAATGCATAACGTTCTTTTAATTTATTAACAGTATGGACATGGCTAAGAAAGAACTTAAGATAGTGTTCTCCGTGGATGCAGAGATGAAGGGAAAATACAAGGCTTCGGGACAACTCCTCATCTTGCCCATCAGCGGTGATGGTGACCTCATGATGAAGATTAGTAAGTTGTCTATTAAAGTTTATACCCATCACATCTAAACCATTATTATACCTATGTATACTAGTGAAAGTTAAGTAACTCTTTGTCTGTTTGCCTCATTGATGCGTTTTTCATACTCTCATGTGAATTTCAGTGAGCTCCCCACTGATCTTGGATAAAAAAATAGGTTATTTACCGTCGTGAAAATGCAAATTTTAAAGGGGTCGATGGGCGATGATTTTTTTTAATGAGAAACCAATTATTCTATTGCGCAAATTCAAAGTTGCACGCCACCACTGGCAAAAATAAACTAAAAAAAGGATGAAAGAAATATTAGCGTGAAGTTTTCTATGTTCTAAATTTTATAAACTTTTCTGAACTATTCGAATATTACCAAGGAGGACACAACGCTATTTTTAATCACTGCTGATGAACAAATTAAAAAAAAAACAATATTAAGTTTTTATTCGTTTTAATAGTTATTAAGAAAAAATAGATTTTTTTCCATTAGAAATAGGTAAAATTGTGGTTTTATACTTGTAATTTTCAAATAACAGATTAAAGCTTAATATACACTCCCTTTTTTTTCAACGGCTTTGTTGCTGTCTGGAACAGCATGCATTTACTACAACAGTCTAACTCTAAGATGGTAATTTATTATTCAAGTTTCTCGATAGCAATAGAGGTCAATCCGACAAGCATAACTTTAAATGTAATTAGTTCAGCCGTAAGAAAGAAATGAAATTCGTTAATATCCTCCTACCTCTCGTAGGAGGATATTAACGAATTTCTGCATGAGTTAGAGCGCTTATCTAGTATCACCATCACCTTACAGAAGACTGCCAAAATAATAATAAAGGTACGCTTCGGTGTCACAATCCCTTCTTGGACGGGTACGCCCAAGTAGCCCTCCGCAGCGGACGGGGGGTGGTACGGTGGGCACTAGGCCGCGTACTCAGCCCCCATGCGTACGTCTGCGGGGTCCCCGCAATACCTCGGGAGACCCCTGCCGTAAAGCCCCAGCGAGGCCGGGAAGCTGCTGGGTGCGGACCCCGCGGCTTCGCATTAAGCAGTGTAGAAGGTATTCGCTGAACTTTTTTAGCGGATATTATGCCGTAAGGCGCCCGTAAGAGTTGCGGGGTCCTTGGTGGGCAGCCACTGAGGGGATCGTAAGACTTGCGGGAGCCAGGTGTGAGGTCCGTTCGGCAGTGTGCCTCTTAAAGGCGCCGTCGTCTGTAAACAGCATTTTTTACCTGGGTTATAAAAAAAAGGTTACCATGCGTCCCAGGTGTCCAGACCGGTTTGATTTGTTTGTCCTTAAGTTATTAGCATTTGGCGTGATATTAACTATAGTAAAAACTATGTTTCGAACAACGCGGCCTTACCGTTACCCGAAAACTAGATCTTTATGACAGCACCATGTGTAAACATAAGTGTTTCTTTGTAATTTACAGAAAACGCAGAGCTTAACGTCACCAACACATTCGAAGTTGTCAAAAACGCAGACGGTAAAGATGTCATCAAATTGAAAGGTTTCCGTTTCACGTATGACATTAAAGACGGGGCTTCGTATTATCTCACCAACCTATTCAATGGAAATAAAGAACTGAGTGAGTATTTCCTAAGTGAATCGCTTCGTTCAATTTGCTAATAAGAATAAGACAGATACTTGTAATGGAGGCGCTCGATGGCGCAATACTTATCCGTATCATTGGCGCTTAAATTGTAAGTGATTATATATGTTTGCATGTTGTTAAATACTGACGGCTAATCAGCTTAAAGATCTGTATATTTATTGTGAATTAGCGGATCCGACAGACGTTTTCCTACACGATAAAAATGTTAAAAAAAATCTTGAGTGTCCTGAACATTAGGTAGGAACGAAGTTAAAAAATATATATATACCACCCACCAATCCGCATTGGGCCCGCATGGCGAGTCATGGCACAATCTTCCTATTCCATCAAGAAAAAAATGATCCTACATACCAATCTGCATTGGAGATTGGGGCCGTGTGGCGAGTCATGGCACAATCTCTATTCCATCAAGAAAAAAAATATCCTACCCACCAATCCGCATTAGGGCCATGTGATGGGTCATGTCCCGTTTCCGATTCCGTCAAACTATTAAATAAAACTTTAAACTAAGTCCACAGCCACAATCGTCAGTCGTCGCCCACCTAGCTGCCATTCTAGGTACCCACCCAGCTGCCTAGCTAGCTGTCTCGCTAGATTGTGACGGAAAATCTTAAAAATTTTACGCCTAGCCCCCCTCGACCATAACGTCTGAAAAGGAACTTCGTTACAAAACCTAAAACCCGACTCGACGTACCACCTATAGGGTATAGGTATATTGATGTCATAAACGATTGGCTTAAAATTTTCTGCGCATTTATGTTTGATTATTTTTCCGTAAGAACTAACAACATGTTAAAATTTAAAAAAGAGATGGATGATAGCGGTGATGTCGCCCTCAATGTTATGGTGTAACTCAAATGATTTGACTTAATATTGCGTTCCATCCAAAACGGAAATTAAGCAACTCTCACAACGGCCGGTCATGGGATGGCTAACCAAAATTGATTTATTTTGAGATTTTGAGCTCTTCCGTGTTTCAGAATAAAAGATAAGTCACTGGTCCTGGCTGTATCTTTAAAACGGAGTGGCGTGACAAAGAGAACTGCATTGCCGTGATGGCATTAAAACTTTAATACTTTAAGTCGAAATGTGTAATTTTAAAAAGCCTATTACTGACCACTGCTGGTATAAGTATTTTCCACTTGGTGGCTAACGACTTGTAAATTTAATTGCAGCCAAAGCCAACTTTCTGAAGCACAAAGGAAATTCAGATAATGTTTCGTCATTCTTTCAGTGGTTGGACCTTTAGGCTAAAATTGTCCAATAGCCGATAGTGCTAGTGCTAAGCGCGCCTAGCTTAGCACTATTTTATTGAACTCCTCCAACAATATAAATTGCTTTATTTATTTTATAGGTAACACGCTACTCAAGTTCTCGAACGAAAATTGGAAATTGTTGTCGGAAGAATTTGGAGAGCCGATACTTAGGGCGTGCATCAAAGTCATATTCACCAGTATCAAGAAGTATTTGTACGCACATCCATTGGAAGAGCTTACCGAGTTGTAAATAATTTATGAGGCGAAAGGAAAAATCATTTGTTTGTTTTCGTCACAACGTACAAAGTTCATAATAAATTCGCGTTTTCAGTATTTATATTTAAGTACAGCATATGGGGCATTGTATACTAAAATTTCACATTACTAGCTAGTTTTATTTTTGATATAGATCCCGTAACAAAAATGATCTAAAAATGACAACTTTGACGTCACCCCATTTCTTGGTATTGAAAAAAAAGGTTATATTGATATCGTACTCAATGTGTTGTAGACAATAATGTGTCATGTGACGGGGTGAAAAAGAAAAAAAACGTCTTCTTTCCATGTACGGGATCATGAAAAATAATTTTATTGAATTTTTAACTAACTTTTCGACTTTGCCCAAGCATTCTACATAATATACCAATACATATGGACGGACAGACAGACAGAAGACAGAGTGACAGCCATAGGGTTCCATTTTTACCCTTTGGTTATGGTACCCTAAAAAGGATGGAATCTAAAAATCCACCAGTTATCCTAACATGCGAAGATACCAAGAGCCATGGAGCAGCGCGCGAAAGAGAGAAAAAAATGGAGCAACTTATTCTATTTCTTCTTCTTTTTCTTCTTCTATACTTATAGAAATTGGGGTTTAACTTAAATTGTTAATTTCTCAGTAACTTCACCGTATTTCTCCCAATGTGTCCGTTTCAGTCCAATTCATCTGTCCATTTTGACTGCCAGAAAACTGACAGCAAAACCTTGCGTCCTATGGACGCTAAAGATTAATTTGTATGACCATTGCAGTGATAAGATGCAATGTAACTAACTAAAATGACCATAAGACTTTACATATGTGATATCTTTTCAAAGGTTTTGGGTGATAGAGGAATGCAAGATTTTGCTTTTGTTTTTATTGTCGTTATTTTTGTTAATAAAAATCAATGTACTTATTGTTGCTTAATTATATAGGTTATGTCAAAGATTTTTGGGTTATGTAATTAATGGAGATGTCATAAACTTTTATAAATATTTATATTGAAATACGAGTACATTGAAGTTGTTTTATTTCGAGTTATTGGATTGAGGCCCTCTTTCACCTAAGTTTTTAAATGGAATAACAAATCAAAATCATTTATTAGTCTTATTTTCAAATAATGCACTGTTTGTTGTTGTTGTACACAACAGAACATCGTCATGTTGTCATGATAACATCGCGATGTTCTACATTAGATTTAGCTTTAAACAAAGAATATTGGTGAACGTGGCCCTTAGTGTCTTGCAGCAAAATACCTTATCCCACCTAATGTTAAATGTAAGTGGAAACCAATTGTGGAGATAACTGTTGTAGCAAGAAAATAATGCCGCTTTAGTCATCCTCAATTTGTCTACCTAAAAGGGAATTGGTCCATACACCGTGGAATCTTATCAACAGAAACAAAACACAATAAATAATGATTTGGTATTAGCGTTGCCAGACGTCCCGATTTTGACATGAAAATTAAATGGACAGGCTCAATCCCGCTTTTCGGGAATAACTCGAGCGTGGGTGCGGCGCTGGCGTACTGAGAAAGCGCGGGCGGGTGGCATAGACAAGTGTGGACTGGCCGCCTGACAAAGACTCATTAGACTATTTAACGATAGGGTAAATCTGATTTAAAACATCATATTATTATTAAAATACATTTTCTATGGATATTTCTATAGCCACGTAAACGTAATTTGAACTCGAACAAAAAGATAAATAGAAATATACAAAAACTTTTGATTATATAACTTTTTTACTATGTCCCACTTTCCATGAAAGAATCCCGCAGTTTTTAACTCAAAAAGTTTCTAAATCTCGGCTTGGCAAAAAAAAAAAGATTGTCTACGCTGCTTGGTGTACACCCCGGCGAATTTCTTAAGCAACGACCATAGACAAGGAGGCCTGCGCAATAGCAATTTTACATACAAAAACGTCTTGCGTAAGTTGTCTTTGGTTTTGCTCAAAAAGTTTGCCGCTACCTACAGGTATATCACAAATATTTTCGATATTTATATAATACGGAAACACAATACCATTAAAACGTACTCTGCTACGTGTTATTCTGTTGTGGTCTTCTGAAAGGTGGAATTTTATTCCACTGACTGGCTATCCCAATAAAATAATTATTTGAATCCTTGTCAGCTGTTTGGATTCGGTTACAGGAAAATAGCTGAACATACTAGTCTAAGCGTCGCCATGTCTGAGGTCAAGGGTTCGATTTTCAACCGGATCAATGCAGATCACGATGTACCTAAGTATTCAATTTGTTGTGTTATAAAGAATTTTCCATAACCCAAGTGTTTTACTTGTTTCCCTTGACCAAAAATCGAGTTGTCATGATGTAATTATTGTAATTTAATCAAAAGAACCGGCAAAGTATTAGGTAAGGCATATAGTATATTACCCAAAAAAAATACTTGTAAAATACTAGAAAAAAATCCACGCGGACCAGACAGCAGACGAGAATCGAACCCGCTATCCGGTACTCCGGTATTGCACTGAACATTATACTACCGCGGCCCTGATAGCTGTGTCGATTTTTTTAGGTTTTCACGCACATCACTCATTAAATAAAACTAGTTTTTACGGGTTAATGCACGAAACTTTATTTATTTATTGACGTTTCGCAGCCTTTTCAGGTCTGCATCGTCAGAATAATGATTTTTTATTTAAAATTGTCGAGCTACCTTCGAAAGACTTATATTGAGCGTTCGGTTATTTCATTGAAAGATTTTTAAAATTTTATTGTCTATGTATGAATTTATTATTTAATTTACTTAATAAAGTATTTTATTTAAAATTCTTGTTTGTAATTTTGAGTTTATTTATTTGACCCTAACTACCGTAAACTACCACCGGTTCCAAAATTGGGAGACCTTCCAGAGAAGAACCGGCGAAACAAACTCTCCAAAAACAAAGCCTCTCTTGAGTTTACGACTACGACTACAACTAAGAACTACTGTAGTAGTTCTTTTATTAACGAAACGGTGAAGAAACATATTTTGACTAAGGTTTAGAGTTTGTGAAGTTAGGCCTTGTAGAGTTAAGGCGTGTAGAGTAAAAACGTTGGCTTTACAGTATGAGATCTGATAACTTTTTGACAGTGCGAGTCAATTATGGTCTGGTCTAGGCAACACTTTACGTTAATATGTTTTTGATGGGATTTCATTTCTTTTTGTAAGTAGCTTGTTACATTTTTTTTTATATTTACTTTATTTTATTATTTTTAATAACAAGGAGTTCCTTTGGAAATTTACAGACCTCTCAGTAAATTTCCAAAGGAACTCAGAATAAATAAAAAGTTGCAAGTTTTATGATTTTTTTGTTGTTTGTGTCCTAATACTAGGTTAAATGCCAAAATTCAGCTTTCAAAGCCATTCGAAAATACCCTAAGAATTGTCATGATCATCAGTGAGAGTGACGAAATTAGGTTTTTTAAATATCAATAATATCTAAAGTATAAGAGCCAAGCGCAAGCACAAAAATGATAAGATATCATGCCATTACAATTACACTTGGCTTGAAGCGAAATGGATAGACGCGCCAGTGATTTACTCTCAATCAACGCGTATAATTAAACGTTATTAAATTATTAAAAGCTTTATTACCGGTATCACGTGAGGTGTTCACGTGTATCTCGTTAGCAGTAAACATTTAAATTGCACAGTAAAAAAGAAGCAAAATATGCAATAACCAAATATTATTGTTATTTTTTTATAATTATATGATAAAAATTACTATTCTTTGTAGGTAGTTGTTTCCCTTTCTTTAGCATAGGGATGATGACTAACTTTGTTTCTTCGTCCATCCGGTAGATTATATATTTATTTATTTTTATTTATATATAAAAAAATAATATAGAAGCAACTTAATTAAAGATAACATGTACAAGGGCACAACTTATTTCAATCTGAATCATCAATCAATCTTATATTTTGATAAGTATTGGACGCGTATTTTTTATTTTTTCACTTAAACAAAACATTACGTCACGTCTTGGTACAATTTTTACTTTGAAGTGACGGCATGAGCCCGGTCTCCCAAACTTCTTATCTTTGTTATCCTTTGGTTGATTGACAAAAGAAAAAATAAGTTTCGCATAATTTTTTGGCAATCTAACTGACCGACTAAATAAAATTTCGTTTACTCTACAAGCTACTCTGTCATCATCCCTATAGAGTCAGCTATTTCAAATTGACTCTTCCACTGTAAATAACAAGGTTACTACCAATGGTATGCAAGAAACAAAGAAAACATATTATGTTTTGTTGATAATTGAACAATTATAAAAAACCTAACTTTTAAGAGTTAATCAAAGAAACGTGTCTAAACATAGTAAAAGTTGTACATAAGTAAGATCATAAACTACGTATTTTATTACCATTTTAATATTTCCGATATTTATTAAAATATCGGAAATACTTATTTAAATGATCTTCAAAAAAATAATATTAATGATCGACTAAAAATACAATTGATAACCTAACCTAACATCTAGGTTAACAATTGTATTTTTTGGGGATCAATTAAAAAAATTGGAGATCATTTAAATGTATGCGCCATTTATTATAGCGTCAACTTTATAGCATGAGGAACAGCTTGTGTGATTCACGTCATTTCTAAAGAACTGAGACCAATATGTTGATATAGAATACTACAACGATATAGGTATTTTTAAGCATTTTCCCCAAAAAAAATTTACTAAAAAAACCACTTGCTCCAAGTTTCATTCACGGGATTACTGAACTATTTCGCATAATGAATTATATGGGAATAGGCGTAAGTAGGAATTATTTGGGTCAAGATGGCCTAAGCATCGGGCATTGATCTTTAAGACTAGGAAGCCTTAGTAAATCTGCGGCAAAAATGAGATTCTCTCCGTCTACGAAATCACTAGGGAGTCTCGCTTTACCCGGCTTTTGGTTTACAAAGGATTTTGCCGTCCCAAGCTTGATGCACAAATATTAAGGTCACCCGCTTTGCGGCTACACTACTTCCAT